GACTCTGTGAGCCCTGATGATTTGTGCTTAGTTGGTTCTGTGTTCTCCTGGCTGAGTTCTGCAGGTGCCCTCAACCTCTCTACCTACTGCCATCATTCTTCTCTCTGTTCTTCCAGATTCCCTTGACTCTAGTGGATGGCGCTAAAGCTGATCCAGATGAACAGAAGGCCTCATGAAGAATCATCTCTCTACTGGGAACTCTGGGCTTTGCTGTAACTCTCAGCCTTTCATTGTAAAACTTGGGGCCAACTGTTTCCTGTGCTGTGTGTCAAAATTCGAAAAAGCCCTGGATCCTCACATGCACACATACCAAGTGCTCTCTGAGCGACTGTATCATTTCAATATCATTCTGTGGAAATGGTGGGGTTCCCTACCTGAGACCAGGAGCTCCAGGGGTTCACTAGGATCTGACCACACCTGTGGTTTGTTCATGTAATAGCTGTAGCATCTGCATATCCATCTTTGGTTGGGGGTCACAGGGCCAACAGAGAACAGGGCCTGGAACATCCTTGTAGAGTAGTTAAATTTTGAGACTTGCTTCCAGGAGAGCTTCTGTGGTCCTTTTACCATCAGAATGAACCCGTGATAATCCAACCAAGATTCACAAAGGAGGGTGACATAGCCTCCTGAGGTCACCACATGGCTAGTTTGGGCTGAAAGGCTGGGTTTCAAGTAGGCTCCTAGGAGAGAAGTGGTAATGAGTTAAATGTTGCTAGCCCTCATTATCCTCCTTGGTTCTGAGATGGCAGTGTGGGTGGGTGGGCATTCCTTTGAACAGACCCAAGTCTGGACAGTCAAAACATGAGATTTGGGACCCTGTGTGTTCTCTCACCTGTCACCACCAGTTCCAGGGGGTCACTGAAGTCTGATGATTTAGCCTGGGTCCTATAGGAACATTGATACTGTGCTGCATCTTGTTGGTCTACATTTAAGAATGAGAATCCAGTCTTGTTTTCTGGCTTCTGTTGGTTCTTTGTGACCTTCCTATATGGATATCCATTTTTATAGAGAATGCACTCTTTGGCTCCGATGGTCTCTTCACACAAGAAGCTTACGTTAGTCCCCATGGAGACCACAGAGTCTGGGTGTGCTCTGAGGATAGGCTTAGTGAGGGACCCTGCAAGTAACAGAGCAGAAAATACTCAAGACACCCACCTTCAAATTGCAGTCCTTAACCCCATGGCCTTCCAGCCACCCCCAGGAATAAC